GATTGTTGTGGTGGCCGGGTGCGTGAGTGTGGAAATGGTCATTTGCGGAGTTTTGCGGTTTGGGGATGAGTAATGGATTGTTGTTTGGAGTGTGGCAAGTGTTGCATTGGTTCTTAGTGGGATGATTTGGTTGCTTTGTAGATGTGTGGGATTTTGGCCGTTCGGGAAGATGGTGTCTGGGGTGCTGAGGGAGAAGGATAGGTTGGCCGGATTCCGAACCTGGTCAAGCTCTTCTTGAAACTTCAACAATTTCTGTTCGAGTTGTGTCACATTTTCATTGGGAACCCGGATACCATGGCCATCAACGGCCTCTGCTGTTGTGTTCTCCTTTCTGATGTTCAAATCTTCCATTTTGCCCTTGTTCTTGTTCTTAACAGGACTTAGAGGAGGAGTGGGTGGAGGGCCCTTGGATCTTGTGGAATAAGATGATGTTTCCAGAGTGCACGAACTAACCTTTGGGGAGGGGAATAACAAAAGATAAAACAAAAGGTAACCAAGTTAGTGAGTATCACAAAAAATGTTGCAATATTTAAACACATAGTACATGAATATAAAGCGTGTCCTAATTTGAGAACCTCGTTGTGCCCGAGGTGGGCCTAGCGACAAGTTGATTTGGAGAACTTAGGATGCTAAATGCCTCATTTTGTTGATAAAAATAGACGAATCCCAAATTGACAGGAAATAAAAATCACTAATGCCCATTGGCCTTATTACATTTTATAAAGCGCTAAGAAAAATTCCTATCTACTTGGTCCCAGAAGGACCTTCCCCAAATTCGGCATCCCTGGCTCCGTCGAACAGCTTTCCCAACTCGCGAAGTCCCAGCAATAGGTATGCCCTGGCTAGATGCCCGCCTTCGGTTCCTTATGCATTTTGGCAATCTTCGACCCTCTTGAGAAACTTTCTCTCCAACTCCACTATGCCTCGCTCCAAGTATCCCAGTCGCTTGTTGGAACTGACAGCCATGTCCCCCCATTCCTCAATTAGCTTCTGGTTAGATTCTTGTATCTCGCGGTGCTCGCTTTCGTACTCCCGGATTCTTTTGCGCTATTGGTTGTATTTGACCTGTGCCTCGGCCCTTTCATCTATAATCCCGTGACCTCGAGCAAATCCTGGCTGGCCCAGACCATCATGATTGTCTTCCAACTAACCTGAGTAAAAAGGAGCGCAATCAGCATGATACCTGTCTGGCTCGATGATATCTCTCCCCATTATGATCTTGCAGTTCCACATATGCTGAGCTTGGCACTTGTAAGAACTATCATCATTCTGGAAGTCAGCCCGGAAATGACTCATCTTGTCGACCCTGGGTATAACTTGCTTCCTACCAGCTTGCCTCATAACTCGGAGAGGGACGTAAGGATAGGTTCCTCTCAGACCAATAAATATCAGGAAAGGTGCATCTCTTGATCGGGCGATGAACTCCTCCGTTGGAAACTGATGTTTGGTGATAAATGATGAAAAATGCATATTTTTTAGTATAT